CCAGATGGGGAATGAAATGGAAATGGGGATGGGAATGTTGTTGTTGTTGTTGTTGTTGTTGTTGTTGTTGTTGTTGTTGTTGCGACAGTACAAATTTACCACCACCTTAAAGCGGACAAAAACCTGAAACATCATCCATTTCATATCACTGCTGGTGATGTCATTGTTGTCAGCTGCTGATACTGCTGCAGTAGCTTGTGGCGCCTGATTTGATGAAAATAATTTTCTAATATCCATAACTTTAGCTTTAACTCGTCAGGAAGGATCAGGAAGGATCACTTCTTCTTCTTCTTCAGGGCAGGGAAGGCTACGCAGTACGCAGTCTACTGTTCTGTAGCTGCTGCCTCTCTGTTGGACTCCGGTACTGCATATTACTCACGAGATGTTTAAAAAAAAAAAAAAAATTGTTTTAAGTCAAACATTCTGGGCTTTTCAGAAAACATCCGGGGCTTGAGCCCAAGTAGCCACCCCCTATCACCGCCACTGGTCCTGATGCTCTTCTAGGTAATCATACATCCTGTCATGTACACAGCTACGTAGGGCCTTTGTTATCGTGTGTACTCTGATATTGGAAGAGTACATTCAGTATTTTCCCAACAGTCACACACATACCTGCAGGTGAGGTTGTGTCAAGGTCAGAGAGGGTCTTCCTCAATGGGAGGTTCTGCTGGAAAGTGTCCGTGACGGGCTCCAGGGAGCGGGGCTGGAGGGGGTAAGGGTCTCCTGGAGAGGGGGAGGGCGAGTGCTGGAGGAGGTCGACACCGTGGAATTTCCCTCCTCTCCCTTCACCTGGAGGAGAAACAGAGCGAGGGGAGAGTCATTTTACCTGACACGCAGTAAATTCAATAAAACGCTTAATCCGATCATCTTGTTGACTTGGCAATAAAGTATTAGATTATGACTCCGGAGAGACAGAGATGTGTGGAAAGGGATTTGATTCTGTGAGCATCGCTTGATTTGAAGTCAGTCTTGAAAGGGCACAGTGTTTTCAACTAGCATCTTTTAGGATAGTGAACACTAATATGATTTCTTTTTTTTATTGAACTCAATACACCAAGATTGTTTTACAAAGGTTAACATTTATTTGTGTATGATACGGACCAAGAAGGACAAAACTTATAGTAACTGCATTTGAAAAACTAGTCGTATTTCATGCATTTTAAGCCATGATGTGCAAATGAGAGATTTAATATTAAATGTATCTGTAGCGACAAAACTCCCAATGAACAGTCGCTAGAAGCTAAAGTAGGCTCATCACTTTGACACGTTTCATTTGAAAGAGTCCGTACTGAAGTTATAGATTAACGATGTTGAATGACTCAAATAAACAAAAAAGAACTTAAAGAGGACCAACCGGTCAACAGAAAATGTCTGAACCAGCTCCCCCTCTGTGTCATCTAGCAAACAAACAAGACCCATGTGACAAACACGGACGGAAGTGATAATTAAATACAAATGTTTGCGATCTAAAATAATAACAATAATAGAGATAATTGCCTCCTACAAGTATCATTATGTATATTTTGACCACGTGTGTCTCGTGCAACATCTTCGTCTTGCAAACATAATGTACTGCTTTTCCTTTTGAACAACAATATAGTCCCCTTCAGCATTTTCCTAATTGTTTTTATGTCACGGTCAATAAAATGCCACAACTCCTGAAGACAATTTTGCCTAATTAACTGCTTGAATACAGAGACATCTGTTCACTATACTATATATGAGCCCAATAGTCCTCGCTATCTGAGTCAAGGCTTTTATCGGCCAGGTTGTTCTCTAAAAATGTGAAATGAAGACTAAAAACCTTCAATTTCACTGCTACGCCGATGACATCCAACTTTATATCTCAACAAAAACCATCACCCCCACAACACACTCCACTCTCACCAACTGTCTCTCAGAAATAAAAGCATGGATGCAAACAAACTATCTCCAACTGAACAGTGCCAAATCAGACATCATCATCATTGGCCCCCCATCCCGTATCAAAGACATCCAGAATTTCAACTTTACCATTGACAGCCACAGTCTAGTTTGAGTCAGCTCAAATTCAACCACCACATAAATCACATCATCAGGACCGCCTTTTTCCACCTCAAAAACATTGCCCTTCTCCGCCCGTCACCCGTCACCCTGCTGCTGAAACCCTGATTCATGCATTCATCACTTCACGACTCGACTACTGCAATAACATCCTCTATGGCATACCATCCAACCTCCTCAATAAACTCCAACATATCCAGAACTCTGCTGCCCGCCTCCTCACCCACACCCGCTCCCGAGACCACATCACTCCCGTCCTCCAGAACCTCCACTGGCTCCCCGTCCGTCAAAGAATCCACTTCAAAGTCCTCCTGATTACTCACAAAGCCCTCAACAACCATGCCCCCCCTATCTCACAGACCTGCTGCACCACCACACCCCTTCTCGTTGCCTCCGCTCATCAGAAGCCAACCTCCTATCCATCCCTACCTGCACCAATCACCGAACCTGGGGGGACAGAGCCTTCTCCGTCGCTGCCCCCTCCCTCTGGAACTCACTCCCACAACCCATTAGAGACTGCACTGATCTCACCATCTTCAAAAAACTCACAAAAACTCACCTCTTCAATCTGGCTTTTAATGTGTGATTGTTTTTGTATTATTTGACTTTAACTATATATTTATTTGTTGTTCCTTTCTTTTCTTTTCTCTTCACTATATCTGTAAAGCGTCTTTGAGCACCTGTAAAAGCGCTAACAAATTAAATCTATTATTATTATTATTATTATTAAAAGGCAGAAAGCAGGAATGCCAGTTCTCACGACAAACTGCAGTATCCTTCCTGCCCAATACCAACCTGCCCCTACAGTGACCTCCGACTATAGAGACTCGTTTAGGTGTGGGTGTAAACACATTGGCAAGCATCGAGGCAAACTTCCTTCTCTCTGGCAGAAAAAGGAACTGTCCTACATAACTAGAGATTATGCACCATTCTACAAAGAAAGACACACAATTCAGTGATATCACTTTCACATTTAGTCATAAAACACTTCTGCATGTTTGTAAGTGAAACAAACACATAAAGAAACACTTCCACACACTAGAGTCCTTTATTCTCTATTAAATCAGGCTGCCAGGGCAACAGCCATTACAGTAATTCACCCGAGTGCAAAACATCTATGTAATTCTGATAAGATCACATGGTTTACTGTAGCCCCATAGCATGCATGGGACTTCAAACAGTAGACTATTAAAATAATATAATTGACGTTCATCACAACTTCTTTTTGTTCAAACTTTAGTTTACGACGTGCAGCTGCCAGTGAGTTCATTTGAATGACACTGCAGATGGAAAAATTATATGGTATTTATTAGAAATAACAAGTCTCTCCCCTCTCAACCTGCATCACCACCTCTGTCAATCAAGTGTAGACCACTCCCCCACCAAAGTCTTTAAAGCTCCGCCCTTCAGGCCGGTCACTGACTTCCTTCCCACCAGAGACTGTAAATTAGAACGAAGGAACTATCCGCCTTCTAGATTCCCTTTTACCCATACCTATATTTAAAGAAAATAGTTTAATCCTGTGGATGCATGAAATGATTTAAGTGGAATACTGAACCTTATTTATCATTATTATTATTGTGGTTATTGTAAGACTACTAATAGTTTGTAAATATTCCTTTTTATTTAGATAAAATCATCCAAAGCAGCAAAACCTTTGTCAATTATCATTTGAGAATAAAACGTTAAACGGCCTGCTGGATCAAGTGTTTAAAATGTTCACACCACATGGGATGTTCGATGAACCACCGCTCCAACAAATGATAGTTTCTTCAGTATTTTTTTATAGAGTACTAATTTGATTAATACATGAGGGAGTAAACTGCATGGGGCAGAATTCAACTTTGTTACATTTGAGAGTTTTGTCTATTCCTCACACACTATGCTGCCCAAGCCAGGTGGCCAAATAACTGCTGCTTGTACAGATGGAGAAACATCAACTAAAGCAGGGAAAGAAGGATAATTAATAGAAGGAGACTAGTTAAATAATTCTCTGTTAGAAATAAGAGGCTTTGAGATTGAGTATGTACACAACTGGTGGGCTGGTGTTGTTATTTAGATCGTTTTCAGATGATTCTCAGAGCAAAAACCAGAAATAAAGAGATTTAGTTTCAGCAAAACACAATTTATTCGGTTTATGGTGCATTATGAGGGCAATCTAAAAAACATTTCTTCAATTGCGGCCAAGACTTGCAGCCTTTCCCTCTAAACTCCATTACCAATTTTTTTCCGACACGGTACTGTTTAGGTTCCCCTAAAAGATTTGAGCTGTTTAGTCAAATGTAAAATAAGGTATGGTCCGACTTGTAAAAACTAAAACAAAACTCGTCTTAAAAACATACTGCAGGATAATTAAGAGTTTCACAAATGTATCTGAAGCAGGCAGAAGCTATTCTCTATTTCAAAAAGATAACATAAAGACAGCATATCATTACATTAAATTGGGTTTGATTTTATTTAAAAGAAATGTGTGACAAACAACATTCATCTGAAGTAATGAATCTGTGTTCTGAGCAGATGATCACACACATTTATTATGTGTAATTGTTATTTAACGCTTGACAATGAAATTATTCTAGGGAAATCAAACAACATATGTTAGAGTTTCATTTGATGGATGTAATAATAATAATACATTTGATTTATATAGCACACTTTAAAGACAACGTCATCTCCAGGTGCTTCACAAAGCTATAAGGAAAACAAATATATATATCTAAAGGAGCATATTGGATAAAATATGGCAATATAAAAAATAAAGCGAGCATAAAAGGTTTAAAAATAAATAAATAAATAAAGTAAAGGACAGTCAGTAAAATGTGGTGTGGAACAGGTGGGTCTTGAGGCATTTCTTAAAAATTGAGAGTGATGCAGAGGTCCGTATGTTCTCTGGAGGCTGATTCCACAGACGTGGACCCAGGGAGGAGAAAGCACGGTTTCCCATGCTGACCAGTTTTTTCCGCGGAAAAGCCAGAAGATTGGAGCTGTCTGACCTGAGTGTGCGTGAGGTATGGGAATGTTTTCTGGTTAGCAGTTCCTGTAGGTAGGTGGGGCCAGTGTGGTTGATGGCGTTGAAGACCATTATGAGGACTTTATAGTTGATCCGGTGTGTTACAGGGAGCCAGTGGAGTGAGTGACGGATGGGGGTGATGTGCTCTGATTTGCGTGTTTTTGTGAGTATCCGGGCGGCACAGTTTTGTACATATTGTAGTCTCTGAGTGGTTTTTGCTGGAATGCCTGCAAGCAGAGAATTGCTGTAATTAATGCGGGAGGTGATGAAGCCATGGACCAGTTTTTCTGCGTCCGGTTTGGTGAGGGAGTGTCATATTTTGGAGATGTTCCTCAGGTGGTAGTATGAGGCTTGGCAGACCGTCTTTATGTGTGCTTGGAATGAAAGGGATGAGTCCAGTTTCACACCTAGGGTCATTACAAGGGGGAGAGGGGAATGGAGTGGCCATTGATGCTGATATGAGGGATATCAGTTTTTTGTATTTGATGTGGAGATTCAATCAGACTGGCCTCTGATTTGCTGCTATTCAGTTGGAGGGAGTTGTTGCTCATCCAGTGGTGTATGTGTTCCAGGCATCTTGAGACATTTGAAAGTGCCAGATGTTTATCCGGGGCAGTTTGGAAATAAATCTGTGTGTCATCGGCATATGTGTGGAAGCTGATGTTATGACTCCTCAGTATTTGTCCCAGGGGCAACATGTAAATTAAAAAGAGCAGTGGCCCAAGGACTGCCCCTTGGGGTACACCAGAGGTGACACAGTGTGTGTCGGAGGTGCTTATTCCAAGACGGACATATTCCTGTTTTCCTGTGAGGTACGAGTGGAAAAAGTCCAGAGCCTTTCCAGTGATTCCCACCTCCTGGAGTCGCCGACACATGATGCGATGGTCAACAGTGTCAAATGTTGCACTTCAGTCCAGCAAGATGAGTAGGCTTGGGGAATCAGAGTCAGCCGACATCAGCAGGTCATTAAGAACCCTGACCAGAGCTGTTTCAATGCTAGTCTGGTCTGAAACCAGACTGGAAGGTTTCATAGAGCTCATGAGTATGGAGAATTTTTCCAGAACTTTTGCTAGAAAAGGCAGGTTTGAGATGGGGCGGTATTTTGTGAGTACCTCAGGATCCAGGTTGTGCTTCTTCAGGACAGGTCTGCCAGCTTGAGGGAGGGGGACCTCGACCACTCAACAAGGATTAGTAATTATGATGGTGCAGTTGGAATAATGGATGGAGAGCAGGTTTTCAGTAAGGA